TAACTTACTCAATATACATTTCAGATAGATGTAAAAGTGTAAACTTTCTATTTCTGTCATCCTCAGAAAATAATTGCCATCCTCAGAACTGTAAATTTGTTTAAAACACAAGTTAATATCAAAATGAAACAATCATATTAAAATATACACAATATGATTAACTTTGTTATTGTAATAAATTTGAATAATTGCATAAATTACAAAATTATTAATTAATTTGTTATTTTAAAATTACATTTTTAGAAAATCAGTGTTTTCGACTTTTTCAATTTTCATTTTGATCAAAAACAATTATCAATTTAAATGTAAATTTTAATTATTATGTTATAAAGACGGATTCGAAAATAATTTCAATAAGTATATAATCAAAATATGAACAAGTTTAATTCATGTTTTGTTATTTCCCGTCTCAAGTTCGTGATATATAATTATTGTTTTTGTTTACTGATTATTGTGGCGATTTTTTGATTGTTTTTAATTGTTTGGCATTTATGACAAATTATTACCATTATTTATAAATCGAACTTTGACTCGAAATATTAAGTGTAAATTATAACTTGAGTTATGAGAGTGGGCCTTATGGGGAACTGAACATTATGGATTTGATTTTTGTATCCTCAGAAAAATATTTTTTAATAAGGATAGTTGTAATCCTGAGGATACACCTTATCCTCAAGAAACCCTTTACTATAAGTTTTTTGTTTGTTGCCCAAAAATGCATAATTTAAAAATAAATAAACAGTGGCTGCAAAATAAACAATTATTTACCAAATACAAAACTTTATATTCTAAATAGATTGCATAAAACACGTTTTGCCTTTTGTTTTTGTTTGAAAATGATAAAAAAACCAATTACAAACAATCAATTCATATCTTGCTTCCTTGACAGTGGCACGACTTGAATTTCAACGAATGATCACAAAACCTCGTGGTGATCAAAATTCATTTTAATACGATTATTTTTATTGTTAAAATTGATTTTATAAATTTTTCTCGATTTTGCGATTTTTGATACTTTTGAAAATGTATTTTAGTTATTTTTTGTATATTTTACACTTATTTTTTTTAAGATTTATTTTTCAAAGTCGGAACAAACAAAAGTGTCTTTTCGTCTTATCTTATTTCTTTTACAAAAAATAGCAAAACCAAATTTTTTAAATTTTTGTATATTTCAAAGTTTACAAAAAATCTATTTATTTCCCCTTGTAATTGTTTTTGAGATCAATTGCATAATGAAATTTCAAGACACCTCAAAGTCTGTTATTTATTTTTTTTTCTTTGTTATTTTATGATGTAATTGATTTTGAATATTCTGGACCAGTATGTTTTATGATGCAGTTACCTCTTTGTTATATTTTATAATTAATTTTATTATTGTTATATGTT